CTGCCTCCGCTCAAGGGCAATGCGCAGGGCCAAGTACTTGGAGAGGTGGTCCACTGTGGCATTCCCAGTTGTCTTCACATACCTGGAGTGGGAGGGAGGACAGGCTTAGAGCCAGGACGCCTCAGATGGGGACTGGAGGTAGGGGCTTTCCAAAATGGATTCTGGGTTGGGGTAGTATTTTGGGTTTGGGCAAAGCCCACTTCTGATGGAAATCTGTGATCTTTGGTTTCTCAGTGGCTGGGGGAAGGACAGGGCTCCTCACCTAGTCTGGCAGTATTCTCCCTTCTCCACGAGCAGGGGGTGGGGCCGGAACACGAGCTCAATTTCTCCACCTGGCTCTGGGGGGCTGGGGGCCCCAGGAGGGCTTGGGGGGCCCAGCGTTCCCCCTCCCAGAGTCCCTCCCCGGTCACCAGAGTCTTCCGAACCGGCACCCCCACCCACCCCACCAGTGCAGCCTCCCCCTGTCCCTACACTGCTCCCCCCTGCACCCCCTCCACGGGGTCGCTTGGGAGCAGGGCCTGGGGCAGAGTCAGGGGCGGAGTCTGAGCTCACATCTTCTCCATCCCCTTCTCCCTCCCCAGGCTCTCCTTCCCCCCCACTCATCGTTGTGGTCTGATCTGACCCGGGTATCGGCCGCCTCACACGCTGGGCCCTGTAGAAGCAAGTGATTAAGGTTAGAAAGCATCCAGGATAAAGGGCTTAGACTTTAAACTTCAGAGAATTAAGAGATAAGAAAAATCCTCATGATGATACCTAACATTTATTAAACACTAACTGTGTGCTAAGCACTCTGCTAAGTGTTTTGCACCAATCCCCTCACCTAATACAATGAATCCTATGACACAGGTAATTATATTATCTCTATTTTATGGCTGAGGAAACTGAGGCTTAGAGAGGTTAAGTAACTTGTTAGCGATCATAGGCTGACACCTCTCAAAATGTGGTAGCAGCACAGACATCCCCTGGGAGCTTGTGAAATGCAGACTCTCGGGCCCAACTGTAGACATACTGAATCAGAGTTTGCATCTGAAGAAGATCTACAGGTAATTTGGATACACATGAAAGACTGAGAGATGCTGGCCTAGGAGGTGATTTAACTTCCAGCAGTATAAATCCAGAGCTTATTCTCAAAATCGCTCTACTGTTCTAACTTCTAGAAAGTCAAGAGGTAAACTGTATTTTTCCTTCTTCTTCTTCTTTTTTTTTTTTTTTGAGACTGGGCCTTTTTTTTTCGCCCAGGCTGGAGTGCAGTGGTATGATCATGGTTCACTGCAGCCTCCACTTCCTTCCTAGGCTCAAGGGATCCCCTTACTTCAGCCTCCCAAGTAGGTAGGACTACAGGCATGTACCACTATGCCCAGCTAAATGTTTAATTTGTTGTAGAGATGAGGTTTCCCTATGTTATTCAAGGTGGTCTCAAACTCCTGGGCTCAAGTGATCCTCCCATCCTCACCTCCCAAAGTGCTGGGATTACAGATGTGAGTCACTGTGCCCAGCCCTATATTTTTCTTAAGAATAGCAGTGCCAGTTGTTTACTAAGAAACTGCAATTTATACCCATGATTTCCAGCCCTAATGATCGGTCTGTGGTCAGCTCTTAGGATGCTGAGGCTTAGAAGCTAGCAGGCAACAAAGACTGATCCACGGACCCATCCCACCACTCCTGCTTCTCTCCTGACCCTCACACCTGTGCATGGCCTGCATTCGTAGCCCCTCCTCAATGCTGGAGCTCAATGCCTGCTGGTTGTGCAGGCGGCTCAGGCGGATAAGCACTCGATCTTGATGGGCCTCATATTCCTCCCGGCTAGGATAGATCTTAGAGATCAGGGCATCAAAGTTGGGGTCTGGCCGTAGGGATCGCTTGGATACCAGCTTCTTTCGGCAGGTAGGACACTCCTTGTTCCTGGGGTAGAAGAAGGGAAGCCCTGAGTGGTCAGTCAAGGGAACTGAAGCCTAAGCTGAACCAAGACCAGTGAGAGGGCCCTAACTTTGTACCCCTTCATCTCATCTCAAACATGTCTCTCCTATTACCCGCTCCGTAGGGCTGTGACAATGCAGTCAGAGCAGAATCTGTGGAGGCACTCCTTGGTGGTCATCGTATTCTTCAGCATGTCCAGGCAGATAGGGCACATGAGTTCTGAATGCAGTGACCGAGGGGAAACAGCAATCTCTGTGCCATCCATTATGGCTTCCTGGAGGCATCAGTGAGTAGAAAGGTGGTGTGGGTTAGAGGGAAAGGGGTTTTAGAAACAGCAGCCCATAAAATAAGGGTTTTGAAAAATACAGTGAGAAGGCAGAATCTGGGTACCCATGCTGGTCTCTATTCGAGACAAGAATTCTGAGAAAGAGAAGGACTGATGACTTGGAGCAAATGGAGAAAAGACAGACTTTAGTGTCCATTAGCTAAGAGTAGGAGCTTTGGAATAGGAGGATCTGAGGTAACTAAGTGGCCTAGGAGTGAAGATGGCACAAATCTGTGGCTGAGAAAAACTATTCGACAAAAATTTTTAAAGTCCTGGTGCTACCTGTATTAGAACCCCATAGGGTGCCTGTTAAAAATTCAGATTCTGAGAACCCAATCCACTACTGAATCAGAATGTTGGGGAGCATGAAGCTCTGCTTTTAATAAACTCCCAAGGTGAGTCTTATATGCACTGACTTATAATACTGAATGAGGAACAGGGAAGGTAATTTTTGTGTTTGCGATCTTTCAAATGAAGACAATAATACTTGCTCCACCTCTCTGGCAGGACTGTTTTGAGGATTAAATGAGGTAAATGCGAAGTGCTTTGGAAAGATTAAGGTGATTCAAAGATAGGGCCAGGCAGGGCAGAATAGAGCAAATTATGGAAAAGAAGCTGTGTGATGGGGTCTGTGGATGGAGGGGTTTGCGGGAGGGGGTAAGCCTGAAAGGGAGAATGCCTGTCACCTGCGGGGTCCGGTGCAGCTCATACAGACTCAGTTCCCACGTTTTGCTGGCATTCTGGGCATTCGCCGGCGTCGTCATGGTGACCGGGCACAGACCCCCCCACCAGGGCTCTACAGCCGAGGAGGAGGCGAGGAAGGCTGGGGGTGGGGGAAAGGGGAGGAGGGCGTTAGGGGGGCCGCCCCTCGCGCAGACCCCGCCCCTCCAGAAGCGCCCCTCTCCGCCCCCGCTCCCGCCCCCGCGCCGGCACTGCCCCTCACCCAGCTCCAGCCGTTCGCGCTCCCGCCGCCGCCGCGCCTCTCTCTAGGCCCGGGCTCCTGCGCCAAGTTCGCTGGGTCCGCAACTGCTGCTCAGACAGCAGCTCCCGCCACCGCCGCCGCCATGGCCCGGGCGCTGGGGCCCTACGTCACTTCCGCCTGCTCCTCCGCTACACCCGCCCCCCCGCCGGCGGAGACGTCACCCGCCATTCGCGGCGCGGGTGGGACGGGACGTGGACGCCGAGGTTCTCCCGCCCACGGGACGAGCTCGTCCCACGTGAGGATCCTGCGTCCCGGGAGTTCTGCGCCACTTAGGGAACCACGGTCTCCGCCCCCGGCCCAGCACCGTCGCGCGGCCAACAACCTTAGCCTCGGTTCCCTTCCAGAGGCCCCCACCCAGGGCCTCAGCTCCAGGGGGCGGGGCCTGGAATATCTGGGACCCCAGGAGGGGACAGAGGGTTCGTAGAAAGGGCTACCTCCCCCACTCTGCGTACCCTGGCGACTCTGGGGATCAACCCCCCTTACTTCTCCGTAACCCCCATTCCAGGATTCCGTGGAAAAAGGCTGCAAAAGATCCTCTGCCGCTTTTGCCCTCTAGTCCAGAGAACGCACCTAGGTCCCGATGTGCTCGGGATTCCCCTTACCACCCTGGGGACTCCCTCCACCCTCCACTTTGGTTCTCCCTAGACCCTCCGACCCGCTCTCCCCCTCGAGGTTTGGGGGCGGCGGCTCGGGACGTCCAGACTCAACTCTCGGCCAGAGCCATAGACTCGAGAATTGCGTTTGGACAATCAGGAGCCGCGGCCCGGGGCGGGGAAGGGAGGGAGGCGCACGGGAGGAACGGGAGGAATGGAGACACCACGCGGAAACAGGGACACACACAAGATGGGGCTCCCATTGGGGAGTGGGGGTGCGCGTGTGGGTGGGGTACACAGGGTCAGAATGTCTGGAGTGGGAAGTGGGCAGAAGCCTCTTCCAGGACTCTAAAGTAAACGAAGGGGATGGGGAGGAAAGAGAAGAGGAAGGGGCAGAGCGATCCCCATTGAGTGCAGGGAATGAGAGGGATACGGAGCGAGGGGGTAGGGGGCAGTTAGAGACCCTGATGGACGTCTTGTCCCCGCCCGAGCTGAGGCTCCCGGACTTGGGCTGCGGCTGCCAGGGGGTGGCCTGTCTCTGGGACAAGGCAGCAGTGGGTGCCCTCGCCCCCCACCCCAGTTCCCCCCTACTTCCCTGTCCTCTCCTTCAGTCCGTGGCCAGTCCTTATGTGGGCGCCAGAGTCGATTAGCGCAGACCCCCCTCCCCTTCCTCCTCCTCTTTCCAGCCCCCTCCCTCCTGCTCTCTCCAGCCCCTTTCATCGGCTGGTTCATTCCCCTAATCCTGGCCCCCTCCCCTAATCCCCCCCATCCGACCCCAGGCCGGCTGCAGCTATTGTAAGGTGGAGAGAAAGGGGAGGGGGGGACTCAGAGAAAGGAGAGGGGTGGGGGAGGGCCACCTGTTCCAAGACCCCCTTTCAAGGCCAGACTGGACACCAAGATGAGGCCATGAACAAATCAACCTTGGGGACCATAAGAACCCAGGGAGTTGGGGGGAGGGGACTGGTGCTGCAGAACCAGTGGAAAGGGGTGATGCAGAAACCCCTCCCTCCAAAAAGACCCGGAGTGTCACGCATACACAGTGACACACACTCTTTCCTCTCACACCCGGCGGCGGGGGTTGCCCTGGGAGACCAGGCAGTGAAAGGGAACAATCCTTCGGGAAAGGGAAAGGAGGGGGAGGTGGGGAAGGGTCTGAGGGCTTGGACACAAGAAGAACCGGAGGTGGCAGGGAAGAGGATTTGGAATTTATTAGGGTCACAAGCACCCCTGCTTCCCATATTCAGCATTCCTGAGCCATACACTGCCACCCCTTTTGTAGCCTGGGAACTTAGAGTCCTCATCAGCAGGAGGCCAGGCAGAGTGATGGGGGGGTGAGCAGAGTCCAGGGTCCTTGAGGCAGTTACATGAAAAGACCTCCTGGGAGGGGCAGAAACATTTGGACAGATGCATGGGTGGAGAGACAAATGGTCTAGGGGGTGCCCACTTTTGTCCCTGGCCTTGGGGACCTCTGCCCTTCCCAGTGGCTCCAGACTCCCCTTACTTGCTTTCTCATATAGTCTGGGTTCTACTTCTCTGCCCTGTCCCTCCCCATGCTGGCCTCATACCAGTGACTTCCACTGAGGCCCCTGTGATGTATCCACTGTCTTCAGATGCCAAGAATGCGACCACATCTGCCACATCTACGAGAATGGTGGGGAGAGGGCAGAATCCTGCTCACTCCTATAGACCCAAAATAGCTATAATCTCCCACCAAAGACATCCCTCCCCACAAACCTTTCCACAGACACCAACCACCAGTCCCGTAGAAAATCCCAAAACCTTGGGGATCTCTTCACTCAGGCCCCCTTCCCAGGGACTCCTCTCCATTCAGTGCTCACCCTCAGGGTTCCCCAAGTATCCCATCGGGATCATTTCAGTAATCTGTAAGGAAATACTCATGTAGGTGAAAGCTGCTTTTATGGATTTTTTTGAAGACTGAGTCTGTGACCCTTTTTTGTTTTCATTCCTCATACATTCATTGAATATTTAATGTTTGCCAGGAACTGTGCCCAGTATTCTCTCTCTGTGAAGCCCAGAGAGATTGAGTCTCTGAATGCTTCTGCCCTCCACCCACAGCCTCCTACCTTGTCCACCACTTTCTGTGGCACTTTCTGTGTCATGGGTGTTGCAATGAACCCTGGGAGGACAGAGTTACAGCGGATCCCATGTCTGTGGGAAGGAGAGTGGCTGCTGATTCTGGAGAAGGCTGAATGCTGGTCCCTCCTTCAGACCCCCCAGGTGCTCCCCAGCACCCTCAAGCATCTGACCAACCGTCCAAGCTCCCGGGCTGCAGTCTGGGTCAGCCCAATCACTCCAGCCTTGGATGCTACATAGTTTGTCTGCCCCATGTTCCCCACCTATAGGTGAGTCAGAGATGTGGAATGAGTCAGGAGTCTCAAGGAGGAGTTCTCCTCTCTATGCCACTTGGCTGATTGACCTCGTCCAACTCAACCTGACCTTTCCTGTGATGCTACTAATGTTGATGATGGAACCACGACAACCACTGGACACCAGGGCTTGTGCTGCAGCCTGAGTGACTAGGAAGGTACCCTGGCGGGAAAGGGTAACAAGGGAGAAAAGATCAGCTGGGGTGACAGCCCTCCTTCAACTCCCTCTCCAGGCTAAGGGGGCCAAAAGTAGCAGGTTCAGAGATCGCCACCTTGAGGTTGACAGCTATGACTTTGTCCCAGTCATCCTCAGACATGTGCAGCAGAAACTCATCCTGGGTGATGCCCGCACAGGACACAACGACAGATGGTGGGTGAGAAAAGCAGGCCTATGGAAGGGGGAAGTTACGCATCAAAACCCGCCCCCCCCAAAGAGCCGGGGCAGTGGAGGTAATATTAGAGCTTTAGAGGGGGAAGGTAGCCTGGCGTTCACCTGCACTTGTTCCAGCAGGCGCCTGGCGGCTCTGGCCTCAGACACGTCAGCCTGGAAGGCAGCGTGGTTCCCTCGGGACGGCCCCTCCTTGTTCCCTGGCCCGCCCAGCAGCCGCACCGTCTCCTGTGCCGCTGCCCCGTCCAGGTCGCAGGCAGCTATGGTGGCCCCCTCTCCGGCCAGGCGTACACTGACTGCTCGGCCGATGCCGCTCCCCGCACCTGAGGTAGGACAGAACACGCCGGACCGGGCAAGGGGAGGAGGCGGCACAGATCAGAGGTCACAGGGCAGAAAGTTAGTAAAATGTGGATAAGGGGTCAGAGGTCACAGCAGCCGCAGACTCCAAGGGCAAGCCCCTGACATCACTCCAACACCCCAAACCGCCCCAGGAGAGAACCCCCTCAACCTGTGACCAAGGCCAGTGCAGAGCGGAGCCGGTTCTGGAGCTGAGACGCCATTGCGGCCTGTGGGTGGGTGGGAACCCCAGCACTAAGCCAATCCCAGCGCAGAGGGGGGTGTGGCCAGGGCAAAGCCGGGGCCAATCAAAGACCCGCCAGCCTTAGGCCATCTGTGCCCACCAGCGCAGGCCGACCTCCCACTGCGGGGGCGTGGCCAGACACTGCTGCTTAGTGGCCCCGGGTGCGGAGAAGACAGGGGGCCCCATTCCCCCCAAAAAGACAAAGACTGCATGTGGGGCGGAAGATCGGAGGACTTTATTTCCGGTTGCCACCCCTCCCCCTCGAGTCAAACAGTGATATAAAAGGAATAGAAACAAAAAAAATCAGGCCATGAGATTACCAACTAACCCTCTCCCACCCCCATCCCCCGGAATCACTCCCAAATTAGGACACATGATTGATGTCTGATGTTTATCCCCGACTCCTCCTGTTACCCTCTCTGTCCAGGACTCTGGTCTTCTCTGAAGCCTTCACCGACTGGTGGGAGAAAGGGAACTGGACCTTGGAGAACTTTCTGTATGGCAACTTGGTTCTCCGAGAACAGGTGGGGTAGGGGACACCAGGTAAGCTGCCATCACCCCCTCTCCCTTCCAACCTTCTTCACGGCCCCATTTAGCCTTCCAAATGCAACATGGTCAAGGGGTGCCCAACACTATCATCCCTCTGGCCTCTCATTCTCACTGCTCCAGCCTCTAAGACTGCCAGCCCTTGAAGGCCCTAATGCCAAAGTAACCATTCTCCCAGTCTACAGTTCCTTCCTTTGGCAGATGTCCCTGGCCAGGGCCCCCAACCTCTACACACCACTGACCTGGAGTTAGGGGTAGAAGTTTGGGGCAGGAGTAGTTTATCCCACGCCTCACTCGAGATGGGCAATCAGCACCATCATGACAACTCCCCCCAGCAGCCCCAGCACCTCCAGAAGTGACTGCAATGGTGATGCCTCCCTCAGCAGCTCGGGCAACACAGACACTGTTGCTACGTAGATAAAGCCACCTGCAGTAAATGGCAGGACCCAGCCAGGACCTGCACCACCTGCAACTTCACTGCCCACTGCTCCTCCTTCAGTGAGAAGGGCACAGGCTGTGCCTGCCAGTGCCCCTACTGCTGTCAGTAGTTGCAGACGCATTGCCTGATGGGCAGAAAAGAGAAAAACGCACTCACCAATAGCTAAAGATTATCAGTGGTTTAGAAGTGGCTGGTGGGGTATAGGTATAGGGAACATGGATTTGGAAACTAAACATCAAAGTAAAAAGAGAGGAGGGGGCAGTCTAGAATAGACAATTTCTGAAAAATCTTAGCGATCAGAGGTCCTTTCCAGACTTTCTGATTGAGTAGGCATGTGTGTGTAAGACTCCACTAAACCATTCAGATGGTTTATAGACCACAGTTTAAGAAATACTGAGCTAAAGGACAAAGTAACCAGAACTTCTTTCCCCTCATTTCTAGAGGACTTGTCAATGACAGTATGAATTGTCTGGAACTAACAAGAGGCTGTTTGAGTTTAGGGTGAGTGAGGAGAAATAAAGGGTTTGAGGTAGCTGTGTTTGGCAGACATCACCAACCTGCTTTTTGCTGCAGCCAGACTGGACCAAGATGGCAAAGTCTCCGACCTCATGGGGCACTTCATGTAGCAGGACAGTCATTGTGGTCAGGATCCCTAGCCCCCGACCCCCTCGAAAGGAAGCCCCAATGGCCAGACCATCAGTGAAGTTGTGTGCCAAGTCAGCAGCCAGATTCAGGTACCCTGACACACGCAGATCTTGTACAGGATGAGAAGAGAAAATGATCAGAGGCCTCCATCACCACTTGTTCAGTCTTGGTCAGTTATTCTCACACCTCCCCTCAGAGACCACTTCATACCCAGTCTTTTAGTGTTTCCGAGACACCTGCCATTACCCACAGCACATATTCCATGTGATTTGTGATGATGTCCCTTGCCCAAATTTATGACCAACTCTGGCCCTTACCTAAGCCTCTTTTTTCTTCTTCAGCATTCTGAGGTCTCACTGGCCCATCTTTGGGTACCGTGCTCCCTCCTCGCCTCTTCTGAACCCCCCCTGTTTCCTTTTCTTCTTCTTCTGAGCTCTGCTTCTCCTTGGTAGAACGCTCTGAGGGAAGAAAAGAGTTAGTCAGCGTGGAGAACAGATCTTCCAACATGTCCTCTCCCTCCTGAGGGCCGTAAGATGAGGAGATTCTGAGGCAGGCAAGTCAGCTTTCGGGAAAGTTGTTCCTGGGCTCACCTTGTCTTCCATGTCCATGACTTCCATGTGTGTGACTGTGAGCGTGTCCATGTCCATGACCATGTCCTCCTTTCACATGTCTCACAAATTTCTCCACAACAAGAAAGGCAACAATTCCACTGAGAACCCACAGTCCCACAGACAGAATGGGGCCCTGGCCTGGGAATGGAGGCATTGAGACATTAAAGGAGATGTGCATTACAGACTCCTCCTCCTCAAGTGCAGGAGGTGAGGAATAGGGAGAGACAGACCTTCCCCAGCACCCCAACTCCCATCCCCATCTGTCTCTTCCTCACCACTGTGGGAGTGTCCATGTCCGTGTTGCTCCAGAGTGTGGTGAGAATGAGGTTCTGGAAGATGGGGGGAAAACCAGATGAGGGAATATCTGACACAAAGGGTGTGTATTTGGGGGAATATCGAAAGGTCAGGGATCATAAAGGAGAAAGAACCCTTTTCCCCCAAAGAACAAAATAGGTTAGATTTGAGGTAGAAGTCAGAGGTTACTTACCAAGAGCATGAGGAATGAGGTGCAGGAAGGCATCTCCCAGGAGGCCACCGGAAGCAAAACTGAGCAAGATCTGAAGTAGAGAGCGATGCCGGGGGGAGTTTGACTCCACAGGGATAAGGAAGAGGACAAAAAACGGAGCTGCTGAGATCAGCACTGTGGCCCCCAGTGCCTGGTGAGGGAGAGTCAGGGTCAAGTACTGTGGTGTTTCCCAACAATCCAGAACCAGCCCCTCTCTCTCCCATCCCCTGGAGACTCACATAAGCCCAGAGAGTGACAGCATCCAGGTCCTGCTTGATGCCTGGAGCCCCAGACTCCCCATAGCCTCCATGGCTATGCTCACGGTCATGTCCATGTCCTCTGTGGAAGAGGCTCTCATGGGAGTGGCCATGGCTATGGCCATGGTGTAAATCCTCATGTGAATGCCCATGGTCGTGACCGTGGGTATGTCCATGCCAGATGCTCTCGTGAGTGTGGCCATGGCCATGGGCATGGCTGTGTCCATGGTGGAAATCTTCATGTGAGTGCCTGTGACTGTGGCCATGGAAGTCCTCTTGCAGATCGTCGTGCAGGTCGTCATGACCCGCGAGTCCAGCCACCAGAAGCCCCAAGGCCGCCCAGGTCAGCAGTCCCACGGCCACCCAGTGGGGGGCCCCCAGGACTCTGGCCATCACGCTGACCAGAGGGACAGAGACAGTGACTCCACTTGACTCAACTCTATACCTACACAGGGTCAGCTTTACTCCAATAGCGCCCTCCGTCCACCTCTATGGGCCGCTCTCCCATTCCCTTAAGTTCCCACCTACCTACATTGTTCCCAAGACTAGTTCTCTTTATCCCGAACCCCCTCCCGGATGTAGGGCCCTGGGACACTAGTCTTTCACCAGCCACTTTACAGACTCTCTGGGCCCTCGTCTCTATGACTCATTAGGTAAGGAAAAGGCCTAGAAAGGATGGTAGAGAAAAACAGAGAATTCTCACCAGCTCCGGGATCCTCTCCTTTCCCGGTTTGCTCGGACGTGGCAGTCCCGCCTTTAGCTCCCGCGAGAACAGGAAGTTCCGTTCCACCTTCGTCCTAATGCCTTTACCAATATGGCGGTACTCTGGTAGCGACGAATCCATCCTGCACTGATGCGCATGCGCGAGTGTGGAGGTTATTTGAGGGGAGGGTGGGCGAGGCGGGCTAACAGGCCGGAGGAGACCGCCTCCTCGGTTTCCAACTAGACGAGGGGGCGGGAACTCGCGCCGAGACTTCCCGTCTGTACAAAGATGGCTGCCACATTGGCGCTGTCATTTTGGTACAGAGCAGAGCGACGGGCTTAATTCTACCCAATCCAGGCCAGAGTCTTTCTCTCAGGGGCTTCCTCGTGCTCAGCTACTCCTCCGGTCAACCCCTGGGAATCCCTGGGAGCTCTTCGGTATCCCTACTCTCAGCCAGGGATATGTCTTGGGCCGCTCGCCCGCCCTTCCTCCCTCAGCGGCATGCCGCAGGGCAGTGTGGGCCGGTGGGGGTGCGAAAAGAAATGCATTGTGGGGTCGCGTCCCGGTGGCGGCGGCGACGGCCCTGGCTGGATCCCGCAGCGGCGGCGGCGGCGGCGGTGGCAGGCGGAGAACAACAAACCCCGGAGCCGGAGCCGGGGGAGGCTGGACGGGACGGGATGGGCGACAGCGGGCGGGGTGAGTGTCCCAGCAGAAGGGCAGGCGAGCCAGTAACCGCGTTATCTGCAACCCCTCCCCCACACCCTCCTCTGGTTTTCCTGGCGCTCCCGCCCCCTTGTTTGTAAACACGCGTCCCCTCCCTCCCGAGGGCCTTAGCACCCTCCTCCCCGGGGCGGGGCGGGGAAGGGGAGCTTCCGCCCTCCTAACCGTGACCGCTTGAGGCCTTGGGCACCGGAGGTCGCGGGCGTGGGAAGGGAACGATTCCTCTTAAGCTTCAGGACTTTGGGCGTTTAAAGGCAGATCCTGCGTCGTAGGAGGGGTCTCTCCCGCCTATCTCTTTCCCCTGCACGCTCTGGCTACCTGGCTTTACGCTGGGAATAGAGGGGCTCGATGGTCTACCCCACGTGTTGCCCCACCCACGAGACAGGTGTGGCTTTAGGATGACCTGGTATTCAAATAGATCGGTTGGAAAATTTTCCTCACCTGAACTATCCTCCTCTCCTTGTCACCTCCCTCCTCTCACCACAATGAGGAGTTATGCTGTGTTTTTTTAGCCAGTCAAATATAGCAGTGGGGGGTTGTATATCAATTTTAGTGACACTAATGTTTATTAATAAGTTCTGATAACCCACTACCATCGGACCAGCCGGAGTTACACAGTTGTTTGACAGCAGGGTGTCTCTGGACTTGGGGATGGTTGGAGTGGGCTGGGTCCGGCACGGTGGGGTATTAGAGAATTAAAGTCTCTAGTTGGATGTTTGAAGACTCATTTTCTTTTTTTGTCTCTTCTGTCTCTTTTGTGTCTGTGTACGTGTACATACCCCTCCC